GCAGCCTGAGACCAGCGCATCCCATCAGCACGGTCCTGGTCTCCTGCAGCCTGAGACCAGCGCATCCCATCAGCACGGTCCTGGTCTCCTGCAGCGTGAGACCGGTGCATCCCATCAGCACGGTCCTGGTCTCCTGCAGCGTGAGACCGGCGCATCCCATCAGCACGGTCCTGGTCTCCTGCAGCCTGAGACCGGCGCATCCCATCAGCACGGTCCTGGTCTCCTGCAGCCTGAGACTGGTGCATCCCATCAGCACGGCACCTGAGTGTGGGCACAAGCCGTGCCGGGGCAGTGCCTAAAACATCTGCTTTGTTCCGCAGGTGCTCCTGGGGGCCCTCTTCTGCCTCTGCCAGGCTGTCACAGAGGTGCAGGCTGGGGGTCTATTCTCTCTTTTCTGGGTTCTTCCCACTCATATAGAAGATACTGGCTGGAAGAATGAGATTAAACAGAACGACGTTTTGACTTTTTTCTTTTGGGGGCTGAGCCTTAACTGTACAGAGTCAGACCAGCACTTGGTGACATGATCATTATTTTGGTCAAGAACACCATGGTATCAGAAACACCCCTAAATAGCCAGCTTGTCACGAGGCCACCGCTCTCGCGGGCAGGGCCGGGCCTCCAGGCACACGGAAACTGCATTAAGCGCGGCGTGAGAAGCCACACAGCTCACTTCCCACTGTCTCAGAGACTTTCCTCAAGTAAAATGAAGAACTGCTCTTAAAAATAACTGCTGAACACCACAGCGAACAAGTACCTTACAGTCGCCGGTGAGAGCCACACGGCTCTCCAAGGGATGTCTTCCTCCACGCTGCAGCCTGGCCTGGTTTACTCTTAAGGCTGTGAAATGATTAAGCAGTAGCTAGGAACCACCTATGTAGACCTCTGCAGTGTCTGGGAACACCTTGCAGAGCTGAGTAGCACCGAGTTTTCTTGGGTAAGATGCGAGTCCTACCGTAACGTAATGTCCCACGGAGGGAAGGTATTTCTGGCACGGGTGAGTGCGTGAATATGAAGTGAGCTCTGCTGAGTGACAACAGCACCTACAGATTTCAAAACAGTGAGACACACGGTCCTCTTCCTCCCATCCCACGCTAGTTGTAGCTAGACCTCTGCAGAACAGCCCGGAAAGAGGTTCAGTGTTATTCTATCCCCAAGCCAGTGATCTAAAATGATGCCAGGAAGCTTTTAGGTCAATCTTAAAAAAAAAAATTTAATAGCAAAAGGAAATAAAGTACACTGTCAATGACATATAATTTGGCTAGGCAGACTGCATCCGTTTACGTTCTGAAAGGGAGGCTTCCTATGGAGCTCGCCCAGCACTGTGTACACTGACCTAGCACCGACACATCTCGATTTCAAAATAATCAGAGCCCCACGTGGCAGCAAGGCACGCTTTGTCTCTCAGCTGGCTGGCTACCAGCAGATGATGAGGAAGGCCACTGGACACCATTAGTGTTGTGTGAGCTGCCAGCACAGCGGGGCGGCCGGCTCTGCTCCTCACTGCTGGCTGTGCATCGGCTGGGAACAGGCAAAACACAGGAGAACTCAGCTTTCCTAAAATAAACCATTTATTGAAAAAAGAGCTTCTCTTAAATTTCACTAACCGGCCTTTTGCATGATAAACCTGCAGCTTGCCAACAGGAAGGAAAGGTTTCACAGTCAGTGCACTCGAGTAACGGGAGATTAAAACAGTCCACGACACCGGGTAACACTACAACGTCGTGTGAGCCCAGGAAGCTTAAACACACTACACTGATGCCCTGGTTCTTAATCACGCGAGAACGGAGACAGGCGATGGTCCATGTACAGTAGTAATGGCACTTAACGTGCAGCCTCTTTAACCTTATAGATGCCCTCGCCGAGGGCCCCGCGACACACGGGGGGACAGCAGAAGTGATGCCCGTGCCCTGCAGTCCTCAGTCCCGAGGGTTAAAGGGCTGTGCTGCTTCCCAGCATCTTCATGTAAATATTACATACAGTAGTGACGGCAATCCAGTCCACACGTGCCAGCGCCTCAGACTGATGGGCTTCTGAGTCCACACACTCGCCGGCTGCGGACACACTCTCCAGTCCACACACGCCCCAGCCAGAGTGCCGGGTTCTCCGGTCCACACGCCCCTCAACCACGGAGTCACAGGTTCTCCGGTCCACACACACCTCGGCTAGGGATGGGTGAGCTTCACTCTTCGTCTGTGCAAACCTGTGAGGGAACAGGAGAGAGCAAGCTGAGCTGCCGCAGTGGGAGGCGCGCATGTGCGGTCTCGGCTCGCGAGATGGCCCAGGGCAGGCTCACTCCAGCCGGTACTCTGCTGGACAGGCCTTGGGCAGGCGCAAGCAGGAGGTGCTGGAGCAGTGCTTTGGGAAGCCTGGAGCTGCCCACAGAAGCCGCTTCTCCAGTGTGAGACCTCAGGTCGAAATACTTTGATTACCTCACGTTCTTTATTATGGGTCCCTGATGTCTCTGCTAATCTAGGTGTTTGCTCCCCAACCTCAACCCCCAAGAACAGGGGAGCAGCGCCACCCACGCGAGCCTTGCAGCTCTATTCTCTGGGTCTCGGGCCCCTGCATCGCCTTTCTACATACCCCCAGCAGCACGTTCGAAACCAACCCTGGAGCTCAGCCCACTGTCCTCTCGACAGCCAGCTCCAAACGCTCAGATGTCCATCTACACCCCCATCAGACGCCGAACACTGGAACGCACCCCAGCCACCCTCAACCAGCTGCGCCCACCTCCAGTGCTGACTGGAACCCACGTGACCCAGAGACGCGCCAGCAAGCTGCCTCAACTCACACTCTAACCAGCCAGGCCGTGCTCCCTCCTCCAAAGACAAAAAGCTAGCCCTCCCCACCCACCCCGGATCCTAAACGAAACAACTTCTGAAAACGCTGTTCTGCCACATGGTGGCCACAATAGCCTGAAATTCCTTCACACGGCTCCCGCATACTTTCCTGGCGCTATCACTTGCTACGCTCGCTCCATCTGCTTCTCACCCACACACAGCTCCTCGAGGACTGACCGAGTCCACGCCTCGAGTTCCTGCTGACGAACCCCCATATAGGCCAGGGGCTCACTGTGGAGAAAAATCTCACCCAGGGCCTCTGGCCACACGGAATCATTCTTCTTAATACAACATGGCACAGAGATGCAGGAGCGAAGCTCAGCAGCAGCCTGCCTCTGTCCTCCGAGGACGCCCCCCCCACATACACATGCACGCGCGCACACACACGCACACACACACACGCGTGTGCGCGCTCACAGGGCAGAGAGCGTGCTTTCAGCCAGTTTCATTCAAACCCCACTCAACTACCACAAGTGCGCTTCCAATGTTCCACCACAGTACATTACGTAGAACCTTGGCCAACACGTTCCAAGTGAAAAACAAAAACTCCTGGCGTCAGGCACCCAGTCTCTTTCCATTTTAGATGTGGATATTTTCTAATTAACTTCCCAAACTTCCTTAAGTACCAAAAACAGAACAGAACTTAAGATACTTAAACACAAAGAAGACTAACGCAGAAGTCTGCCAAACCTTCACAAAAGAGTGGTCGAGGAGCTGGCTGGCCGTCCACCTCAGCTTCGGCTCACTTTCCAGGCAGCGGGAGAGGAAATCCTTCCCCTCGGGGCTCAGTCGTTCGGGGATCGGTGGCTTATGCCCCATCCCCACTTTGTACATAATCTGAAAGTTGTGTTCATATTCATGCCACGGCCTCTACAAAACAGGGAAATGAGGAGGTCTTAATATTAACAGGCCATAAAAAAACACAAATGCCTGATTTCTTTTCAGGTACCACAAACGATTATCTACAATGGATCAGCAACGTTTCCGTCGGGAAATGCTGAAGAATTGGAGGCTAATGCCACACAGTCTCCATCACAACTATCGCATCTCTCACTGGGTTATGAGAGCAGGATAAACAACACACTAGTGAATGGGTGGGACTGAATGGGTGTACACACGGTGCCCAGCACAGTCTGCCTGCTCCACCGAGGATGCACTATGCATTCGTCCAGTATCACCTAAAAAGCCATCATCCTACAACTAAGAGATATAACGTACAACACAATGTAAAAATGCTACTAGAGCATTTAAAATGCAACAGTTCACTCATTGGAATGCTTTAATATACCAACTTGCTCAATCATAAGCTACTACCAGTGTACTGCTATTTTTTCATGGTGCAGAGGAGCAGCGAGACCCACAGGGAATCACTAAGTTGGGCAACATTCTAATCTGCTTGCTGTTGCTCGGTGATTGATTGCCAGCTCCTCTGACACACGTCTGTTCTCCTGTTCTCTGACTGGGACACCGCAGACAGAATGGTCTCTGAACACACTTTCAAAGCTGTGAGGTGGCTGCATAACGATTTCACTGGTTTCCTAGTAACACCTGCAAGGATTCTTTAACCTTTCTGAGGTTGTCGGTATTGGTCTGTATCCCACCTATCCCCGCCCCAGCGCCCCGCCCCTGCAACCTCTCTTTCCTATCCCTAGCATGCTGTCTCCCATTCAACGTCTGAAAGGTGGAACCAAAGAGCAGGCAGCCTTCCTCTCCTAGTCACACAAATGTAATAAGCTTTCCCGTGTCCATCGGGGATCCACAGCTCATTTCTTTCAATCATTGGATAATAGTCCTTTGTGTGGAAGTTACACAGCTTGGTGTCTGCTTCTCTACTGAAGAAAGCTCCCAGGTTCTGGCCCCTATGAAGAAAGCTGCTGTAAGCACTCATGAGCCAGTTGTGTGTAGGAGAGGGTTAGGGGCTTCATTTCTCTTGGTAGCTGCTGCTCCTCCGAGTTTGCATATCTTTAACTTCACTCTTAAGAGCTCTTTATGACATACAACTTACAAACATCTGTTTCCTAGCTGGCCCCTTTCTCTACTTTACTGTATTTCTTCATAGGTCAAATTCTAACCTCTAATCATAATGAGTAATAAAATGACCACAAATACTCTGTTAACGTTACGGAACCCCCAAAACTTCAGGTGTAGGCTCCACTCACCTTGCCGGTTACCATTTCTATGACCACACACCCCAGACTCCAGATATCCGCTGCACGCCCATGGCCTTCTCCTTTAGCACGAGTAATGACCTCTGGTGCCATGTACGCTGGAAAGGTCAAAGATATGGTGGCAGAAATGGGTTAATATGATAGGACAACAATGTAGCATTCCCTGAGTTACACGCAGTAAGCCCACCTTATTTGTGGATTTATGACTCAGAATGGTTAAAGCAAACAAACATTTCAGAAAACAGAAATTGAAACTCCCACACACACACGCTGACCCATTCAGTTGATAAGGAGTCCCCGTCAGCGCGCCTGCCTGGCACCAGCTATGCTGACGCAGCTGTGATCTGTGAGTGTCCCCTGCCCACAACTGTGGAAATCTGCCTCCAGAGAGCAAGGTAAGGTGAATGTGAGTGCGCTTAGTCTCTAGCGGCAGTTGGGGAGAATGAAACACGCGTGCTGGGCGCAGCGCAGCACTCTGCCAGCCACAGCCACAGTCTCTCCCCACAGGCAGAGTCCAAAGGTCTACGTGACATCACAAACACCTGCGTCTAGTCAGTGTGCTCAACAGAACTTTAGGGATAGAATTCTTTTAATAGACATCTTTCAAAGGTTCAAATTTTCAGATAAACTGTATTCACAATGAAATAAGGAACTTCAACTTGAAAAGTATGATAAAAAAAAATTTATGACAGTAAATCATTAAAACAAATGACCCGGGAGTGGGGGGGGCGGGGGGAAGGGATGGGAAGAGGAAACAAAGGAGGAGGCAACAATGCTTGATAAGGAATGTACTCATTATCTTGCCCATGTAATTGTAACCCCTCTGTATAGTATTTTCACAATAAAAAAAAAAAAAATGACCATTTAACCAGAATGTTACTTCAATTAGGATACTTGAAATAACAACAAAGAGAGCCTTTCAGGGAAGAAAAGAGGCTTTTTTTCCCCCACTTTTAGCTTTAAAGGAGAAATTCAGTTCACTTCACCAGTCAGGCACCTGCACTCGAACATGGGCGGTGGTATGGAGGAAACAGCCTTCCTCGGGACTGGAGAGCCCTTACCATTGAGGGCTGCACTGACAGGAAGGTGAGGGCTGCACCCCGCACTCCCAGACCAGCGGAGCACCCACCTGCTGTGCCCAGGGTGCTGTTCACTTCTCCCGGCATGGTCTGAGCGTTGTTTTTCAGCTTTACTGAGCATCCAAAATCCCCCAGTTTGATGAGTCCCGATGAAGTAAGAAAGATGTTGGCACCTAACAAGAAATAAGCAGTCACTAAGCGGCCTGAGACCACACAGCCTGTGGATCTGAGCTACCAGAATTTCCACTCACCAGTCACAGAAAGCCTGTGAACCTGGTTCACAATCATACAAAGCAACAAAACTTAACATTAGGGTAGACAGATAGGACCAACAAATTCTGACCTGAAGAGCATGCATAAATTCTGACATTAAAACCTCAGACAGAGCAGGGTGCTAGTGGCTCACGCCTGTAATCCTAGCTACTCTGAGATCTGAGGATCTCGGATCCAAGCCAGCCTAGGAAGGGAAGTTTGTGAGACTCTTATCTCCAATTTACTACCAAAAAGCTGGAAATGAAACTGTGGCTCAAGTGGTAGAGCACCAGCCTCCAATGGAAAAAGCCAATGAGAGAGCCCGCAGGAGGCGTTCAAAGCTCCTCCTATACCCCTCTCAAAACAACACCCCAGATATATTCAGAGAATTACACATGAGATGATGCTTGTGGGTGTGCGCGGACAAGATCGCAGAACACAGTCAGCGGCTCCCACAGGAAGAAGGGGCACACGGACAGGAGTGGCATGGGAACGGGGGACCTCCGGGGACGGCTGCAGAGCCGCTCTACCGTGGCTCCCAGCCAGCTGGTGCTAAAGCACGGATAAGGACGGCAGGGGGCCGAGCTGACTCAAGGACTCAGACTCCCTTTATGCTGAGGAATGTAACATGAAGATAGTGCTTTGCAACAATGCACCGCTCAGAACAGTTTCTGGCAGAACATCTACAAACGGGCAATGCCATGGTGTGATAGTCAACCTAGCAAAGGCCAGAACGACCAGCCAGCAAAGCCATGTGCTGGACAGGCAGGTCGCCAACCAAGACTAGCACAGGTGAGTGACTGAGGGCAAGCGTGAAGAATTCTTATTCCCAGACCAAGGTTGTTTCTGGCATGACTCCAAACAGCCCACCAGACTGCATCTGGTCCTTGAAGTCAGGCTAATTCCTGAGTCAATGTGTTTAGGTTAACCTATTCGACCGAATGGAACTGAAAGACCAATTAGAGGCAAAATGACTCTTTGGCTTTAAATATCTCCTGGACTCCCAGGCCAGGGCCATGGTGTGGAAAAAGCACAGAGACGGTGGCGGTTCTGGGACGAAAGCACAGCTTCTCCCCTCCAGCCAGCAGAGAAAGAAGGACCCACTTGCAGACACGTTTGGAGGTTGGTGCCAATAAACACTATGCCCATCTCCAAAGACAGTGCTGCGAGCTCTGACTGAGGCACTCCACAGGTGGACAGCCTTCCCACAGAAACAAAGACCTGCCGTGGAGGGCACAGTGCCCTTTGGTCAGGAGAATAATGCTCAGGTATCTGCTGGGAGGAAAAAACCTGTGGGAATGAGCACCTCGAAGCCCCTGCCGTGTGCGGGACACGGGGCCTCTGCAGCTACCTTTGATGTCGCGGTGCACGATGCCGTGCTCGTGGAGGACGTTGATGGCGATGGTGATCTGCTTCGAGTACAACCTGATGACGTGCTCCTGCAGCCCCAGCCGCGACACCTCCTCCAGCGTGCCCTCGTCACAGTACTCCATGAAGATGTACATCTCCTCCTGTGGGAGGGAGAGGGGGCCCCTGCTTACGGCTCTCCTGACGCTGAGGCCCTGCCCCAGAGTCAGCCTCCTTTCGGGTGGTTATTGTGCTGGCCGTCCTGAGTGTGACACACAGCCTCGTCTGCCTCCCTGCACAGACGCTGTCTCCTTGCACAGATGGCTGCCACATCTGCCTCCCGGTACAGACAGCTGCCATGTCTGCCTGCCTGCACAGACAGCTGTCCGCCTCCTCTCTGGAGGTAGGAGAGTCTTGGATCCTCCAAATCACAGTGAACCAACTGGAGCAATCCTGAGATGAAACCTGCCCTGTGGTCTCAGGGACCAACAGGCTGTCCTTGTATGTTATTGTCCTTGTATGTATATTATTGAGAATTAACACACATCCTCTACTTGTGAAAACATGACCACGATCAGCACCCGACAGCCCTGGAAGCGCTGGCTCACACCAGTGCAGGACCACCCCTCTCCCTCAATGCAGGGGACCGGGGAGCATGTCTAGGTTTTAACTTTTTCTCCTCTCACAAAACTTTAAGCACAGAGAAGAAAGTCAGCATCACTTAGTGGTGCACTACAAGTATAGAAAAGTTAGCCAGACTCTGGTGGCTCACACCTGTCATCCTAGCTACTCAGGAGGCTGAGATCTGAGGATCGTGGTTCAAAGCCCACCTGGACATGAAAATCCGTGAGACTCTTATCTCCAACTAATCACAGAAAATCGGAAATGTGGCTCAAAGTAGTAGAGTGCTAGGCTTGAGTGAAACAGCTCAGAGACAGTGCCCAGGGCCCTAGGTTCAAGCTCCACAACCAACAACAACAAAACAAAACAAAACAAAAAAACAAGAAAAGGAGTAAGAAGTGACAGCAATGTGGACAGGGTGTCTATGTGGACGGGGCACCGAGAAGAACCTTCTGGCTGGCGGGAGACAGGCTTCAAGGCTTTACAATGTCAGGTGAATGACTACGGTCTACAACTTACATTTCAGGAAGGAAACGCCTCTAGTTTCAGAGAGAAGGCAGAAATGATGTAACGCATGGAGATTTCCTGATAATTAGGCAAAGTTACTGTGCTCTGAAATGAGAAGACCTGTTGATGTAGAACAGGCTCCGCTCGGCACTCTGTCTGACCCTCACACAGGACAGTGTGATGAAAGGCGGCTTACTCTATGAAGCTCCACACCAAAGTACCGGACTAGGTTGGGGTGCTTGAGGCCTTCAAATATTTTCAATTCATCTGCAGTCTCCTTGATAGTCTTATGGTCATTGGGCTGAAATCGAATCTATGAAAAGAAAATTGCTGGTTACTATGAACACTGTCACAGCCTAGAAATAACAGCATCTCGGCGTGGACACTGTGAAGCTGTCCGCGACCTTGTCCCTGTCCAGGCCCCCAAGACCGTGGTCAGTGTGTTTATGACTTTACTTCCGGACTATTCCTTAACGGTTTCTAAGAACACTAAGCAGACTCTCTTCACATATAAGCTGACATGATGAGTAACAGGATCACTATCACACTGCAAACTAAATCACCCGAAGCATTAAGCTCAGTAGCAACCACTGGCTCTGATGATTCAGAAATGAAAGGCCGCGGCTCCTTTGGGATCCACCTGTAACTGCCTTGTAGCACCTGGGCTCCCGCGCCTGCTTCTTCACCAAGCACCATGAGCTCACCCACACCACCAGAAGGCAACCGTGGTTACCCAAATGAATGTAACAGCGAGGGCTGAATTCCAAATCATTAAAACGTGAGGTGAAGCCGGGTGCCGGTGGCTACTCAAGAGGGTAAGCTCTGAGGATCATGGTTCAAAGCCAGCCGGGCAGGAAAGGCCATGAAAGCTGCAGGGTCAGACCTGACTGAAGGGTAAAACAGGGGACCTAGGTCTAGCAACTCCCCCAGAGAGAACTCAGGCAGCTGCATGCACAAGAACTGCAGTGTGTTCAAGGAGTCCCTACCACTCAGAGTCATCCAACACCGAGGCCCACCTGACTCACCTCCTTCATGGCCATCAGCTCCCCGGTGTCGACGCTGATACAAGTGTAGACCTTCCCATACTGCCCTTCTCCTGCAAACAAAGCATACAGGCTGAGCCATGCGACTTGCTCCCTAGTAAAGCTAGGTGTGTATGGGTGTGTCTAACTAGCTTTACTATCATTTACTATTGTAAGAACCAAAATAATTCTCGATGTTGCCAAATACCTGCAGTCTTTATGCCTCTTATCTGTAATTATCTTTAAATGGCTAAGAATCAGCTTTAAAGAATCCCAGAAGACACAGGAAGCCGAGCCCTCCTGCTGCTCACAGCAGCTGGGCTGCACAGGGGTCCCAGGGGGTGGACAGAAGCACACCTGAGCCCTGTCCGGCCGCCCTGCTGCAGGGCCAGGAGCGCAGGATGCTCTTCTCCCACCGGTCCTTCTGGGACACTGAAGCCAGGGGGTCTACGAGTGAACGCCAGCGGGGAGGACAATGACTAACATCTGAGGAGTACTGGACTGTGCACAGAGCTCCAAGGCACCCCGCCTCCCTGAGGTCCAGAGGCCTTGTTCATGACATGTTCAGGGCCCCTCAGACCTGAATGCTTGACATATAAATGAGGAAGGACCTGACATATCGCACAATCTATCCAAGTTATATACAAGAAATTAAGTGGGTAGTATTTTAGAAAAAGAAAATCATCTTGACCTGATTTATGTCAAGACTCTCATAATATTCTTGTGGGAATATGATAAAAGAATAGATAAAAATAGTATTCACCAAAAACTTCTAAAATTTTTAAGCAAAACTAGTCAATGTACTATACTTAAAATTGTTTTCTAGCTGGGCCTAATGGCCTATGCCTATAATCCCAGCTACTTGAGAGGTAGGGAAGGGAAGACAGTGGATCAAGGCCAACGGACCCCCATCTCCCTCATTCATCTAGTCAGCAGTTAATTGGGAGCCTGAGCCAGGGAGGGTCATGAACTGAGGCGACCCTGTCTGGAAAAGAAAACGAAGGCTGAGGGAACACGGCTGATGCAACAGAGCACGCTGTCCTAGCAAGCAAGGCCTGGAGCCCAAACCCGGCCTGCCACACCAACAACACAAACAAAACAAAGCTAGGCACCAGGGGTCACACCTGTAATCCTTGTGACTCAGGCCGCTCAGATCTAGGGATCATAGTCTGGATCCAACCATGGCAGACAAGTTTGTGAGCCTTATCTCCAGTAAACCAAAAAAACGCTGGGAGTGGAGTGTGGCACAAGTCATTAGTGAAAAAGCAAGTGAGAGCACCAAATCCTCAGGTCACTTCTGTAAAATTTCATTTATATCTACAAAAATATTTGTTGTACCTTGTTATATCTAAAAGTAAACGGCTGCACAAATTTACCCTAAGGAAGCGCGAGTTCTGCTATTTCCCAGAAGCCACCCCTGCGCATGGTCCTGGGTTTCCTTACCAATTTTATTTCCTCTTTGCCATTTGAAGGTCACTTTCCTTAAGCCAACGTGCATGACATTATCGTAGGATTTAGGAGTGTCACAAACTTGGCCAATGATATTCTTTCTCCTCATTTCTCGATACCTTTTTTCTTCAAACAACCGGACTGACTTCTGGATAGCTTCCATGGGTCCTTGCTTGGAAGCTGTGTCTGCAGAGAGAATTGGCATCAATTGTCCCATCTGTCACTGTTTAGAAGTCAAACTTCCAACCGTAACAGAGAGCGCAGAGGGACCTACCTTAGCTCTCCATTACAGCAAGGCAGGTGTATTCAGATCACAACTAGTCTTCCAGTGTGTACTAATCCAGTGGGCACCCCTTGCATAAGGCACCATCAACTTAGAAGGCAAAACCAGACCACCTCCCCACACGCTTGTCTCCTGGCTGCTGTTCTCTCCAGCCCACATGGCCATTAGTACACTCACTGCTAGTACAACAAACAAGGAATCTGCCATGATATGTCCCTAGTTTATTTCAGTTCTCCACCACCTACTAACCAGCAATCCAAACCCCTTCATCACATGGGATCTGAGGCCCTGCAGAAATGGGGTTTAGTTTCTCCTCTGGTTGGGTCTCTGTTGTTGTTGTTATTGTTTAACTTTTCTTCTCTTACCATATATATGATCCTGACAAGTCAGAATCAAGATTCCCAATGCTACTCACTGGCTGCCCTCAGCTCAATACCTTCTCACCTCACCCAACTGAAATGCACACCTCTTCCCAGGAGCCACCAGAGGAGGGGGAGGACGGAACAGAGAGACAGAGCCTGGGGCAAAAACCCTGGCCTCAGCATTTTCTGGATGCTTGATCATGTGCAAGTTAAGTGATTTCTTTAGACATTAAATACTTATATAAAGGGAATGCTATTGAACTCTCTAAAAATGAAAAAAGGTGTGTTTAGCATTTAGGTCCAAATTCTGTAGCATTTGGAATGCCATGAGAAGAGGTTTCAGTTTCTGGTTGGGAAGTAGTGGGGAACTGAGGAAAGTAACGCCGTGCTTGTAGAGCTGAAGCTGGCCAGCAAGCATGTGCGCTGGAGAGCAGAGCACCGCCATCGATGCACACCACCTGGCTTTGCAACCTGGTTTGCCCTTGAGGGTCTACAGCTCTGTCCCACCAACTTGTTTTTTACCATGGCTTCAGGCAGCAATGGATTTCGTACATATACAGAACTAGTGACTTCCATTACCATCCTTACTATGTGTGACCCGAATTCCATTCCAACTTTCCCTTTAAAGGCTCATCAGATTCACTCCAATTTACCTCCCACCAATGTCCCACTACCCAAAACTTGAAAACTAATTAGCTTCCTTAGAACTTCACTAGTCTAGCAGAGATCCTTCCAGACTAAGATACAGTAAAGCTAGTTTGAAAAGTGAAGTTACTTCCTGTTCTTTTATTGCCAGTGCTGAAGCTTGAACTCTGGGCCTCAGGCTCTCATTCGGCTTCTTCCCTCCCAACGGCACGCTATCACTTGAGCCACACTTCAACTCCAGCCCTTTTTCTGCTAAATTGGAGAGAAGAGTCTCTCGGGTCTGTGTGCCCAGGCTGGCTTTGAGCTGAGATCCTCCCAACCTCCTGAAGTAGCTAGGATTACAGGTGTGAACACTGCACCCTGCTTTACAATCACTCCTGGTTTATTTCTCCCACCTCAATACAGGTTGCAGCAAGTCCGCCCCACTCTAGACAAGCTTTTCAGTTTATGAGGCGGCAGTCGCTCCACTGCCAACATTTCTTAGAGAGGCGCTTTGTGTTTTTGTTCTTTAAACAGTTAGCTTTCCTCCAGCTTCTTGGCCTTTTAATATGTCATTGTGAACTGGAACTCTTCTGGTGGTCCCCACATCGCCTGCTTGTTTGGAAAAGCCCGGTGAAAGCTGGGTATCTAGGCACTGTTGTTACAGGAGAGACGTCCTGACCGGGAGGAGGCCTGGGAGACTGCATGCCAGCCCCTGCATGCGCCAGCTGCTGTACCCAGGCTGGTTCTGGCACCGCTCCCTTTGTGAAGCCCACTATAAGGCTTAGGTTAGGCTGACACTTATTACTCACACCAGACCCTGGAATTAGCATGCTAACGGTTTACCTCAGCACTACTTCAGGCCAGCAGGATAATCTATCTAGCTGCTGGCTGAATGCATGAGCAGCTTGGAAGCCGACAGAGTCTGTCACCACCCGGTAAGGCCTTTGGCCACTGGAGACCACCTGACTTCCAGGTAAGTTCTTCTTGAGGGCTGCCTTATGGTTTACTGAAGACCTACCGCCCCCAGGGCCAGCTCAATCTCTTCTGCTCATGAGATCTTTCCAGAACCCTGTGGGCCTTGGGGAAAAATATTCTTGGAACCATTACACACCACTCCTGGACCAGAAGTGTGTTCTAGTCCCAGCTCTGCCAATTACTATCACCACTATGAACAAATTACTTGGCCTCTTAGAATCTATTATCTTTCGTGAAAAGAGAAAATGATGTACTCTGCCTGTTGCTCAAGACTGTGGCAACAAAGTAAGTGAAAACATTCTGTAGGTCGTAAAGTGCTAGGCTGGGATAATTCCACTATTCATTCTTTTGAATAAATTGACTGATCACGTAATTTTTAATATAAAATCTTCCCCTCAACTACTCAGCATAAAAATGATTATTTACAAACACTAGTCTATTAAAGGTCTGTGCTAAGCTACTTAAAAATATAAAGATGAGGGCTGGGAAGGTGGCTCAGTGGTAAAGTGCTTGTTTTGCATGCATGAGGCCCTGGGTTCGATTCCTCAGCACCACATAAGCAAAAAGAAAAAAAAAGCCGGAAGTGGTGCTGTGACTCAAGTGGTAGAGCCTTGAGCTGAAGAACTGAGGGACCGCGGCCTGGCCCAGAGTTCAGGCCCCACGACCGGACCCAAAAAAAAAATGTATATATATATAAAGATGAGGCCAGGAGCCAATGGCTCATGCATGTAATTCTAGCTACTCAGGAGGCTGAGATATGAGGATCACAGTTCAAAGCCAGCCTGTTCAAAGGCCTTAAGACTCTCATCTTCAATTAATCACAAGAAAATCAGAGTAGTGCTGTGGCTCAAAGTGGTAGAGAGCTAGCCTTGAGCGAAAGCGCTCAGGGACAGCACTCAGGCCCTGAGTTCAAGCCCTACAATCAACCAAAAAATTAAAAAATAAAGATGAATAAAACATATTCCTTCCCCCAAAAGAGCTTGTAATTTGTTCCACAAAATAGGCACTGCCCACAAATAGTACAGGAGTACAATGGAGATCACAACACTAATATAAGAAAGTCTAGCAACCCAGAAGCTAGAGCTTTTACTGGAGCTGCTCATCTAATGCCGAACAGCCTCAGTTCACCACCCTTCCTCTTACCTTTGGTCTGGCTAAGAAGTGTGCGGAGCTCCCAGCTTCTTCTCGTGGACCCACTTGAATCACCCCGAGGATAGGCCGGCTCTGCAGGAAGCATTTTCACACCAAAAAATTAATACTTATGAGATAAATACATCAAGAGCAAGGTGAAGTGCAGAACGGCAGTGATTGCCATCAACCGCCTTCTGTGATTAACTCCTAACAAGTTCGAAAGCTGGACAGACAAGTTACAAGATTTCTACTGCATTAAACGTTGCACACATCACAGACCACAGAACATTGTGCAGACGGTGCTGCCTCTGCCCTGCCTCAACACACAAACCATCTACAAGCCCGCACTGCTTCTGTATTTTTAGTGAGAACACTCAACAACTGAAGTGCCAGGATGATACTTTTTTTTTTTTTTTTTGCATGTATTGGGCCTTGAACTGTGAGCTTTAAGCTCTCACTCAGCTTTTCACTCAAGGCTGGCAGTCTACCACTTGAGACAATCTCTACTTCTGACTTTTTGCTGGTGAACTAGAGATAAAAGTTTCACGAGTCTGTCTAGTCTATCTGCCATTATCCTCACATCTCAGCCTCCTGAGTAGCTATGATTATAGGCTATGCCAGGATTAAAAAAAAAAATACTCTAAGCCAGGAGCCGGTGGCTCACACCTGTAATCCTACTCAGGAGGCTGAGATCTGAGAATCTTGGTTCAAGCCAGCCTGAGCACGAAAGTCCATGAGACTCTTATCTCCAATAATTCACCAGAAAACTGGAAGTGGCACTGTGGCTCAAGTGGTAGAGCACCTGCCTTGAGCTGAAGAGCTGAGGGACAGTGCCCAGGCCCAGAGTTCAAGCCCTACGACCACCACCACCACCACCAACAACAACAACAACAAAATACTCCAGGCAGGATTAAAGAAATACATTTTTTAAAAGTAACAAAACTAGACCTACAATACATAGAGCTAGAAAGGCGTCCATATTAAAAAGCCACGGCGTTCAGGGTTCAGTCTCCTCACAAAGCCCTATCTGGCTTCTTACCCTTCCAGCACAAGGAAAGTGGGAGGAGGGAGCGAGGAGGAAGAAAAGGAGGAGGAAGTAGAGAAGGAGGACGAGGGGGAGGAGGAGTCCCTGTGACACCCCCTGGCACTTACCTTCACGCTCCTCCGTGGGGCTTGAGTGTCGACTCAGTGACCTGAACTGCAGTTCAGCAGCAATGGAAGCCAGCCGATCGTTTTCAGGGACACTGGAACCCCTGTTCAGTATTTTTAAGAATTGACCTATCAAATTCAACAGTACTCCAAAGGAAAGGTGTGTGCGACTCTTGTAGAGCCTGGTGCTGCTCACCCCCAGGGATTTTTGACCATTGGCTGCAAGGCCGCGGCCGGCATCTCATGGGCAGCCCCACAGAAACTATCACTCCAATGAGCAGAGCAGAGATCACCGAGGGAAGCTCCCTTTGGAGGCTGTGAGGAGAGGCTGGAGCTATCAAGGGAACCCATCCTCCAAGACGCCAGCCACAGCCCTGCCTGCAAGCATCTTGTTGTACATTAACAAAGAGAGAAAGAAAATGGAACCCTGCTTGCTTTATGACTGACATAATGAAAAGCTCCATAATTTAAGCCTAGAATAGAGAAAAATATAGTCGACAAATTGGGCCAGTATTTAAAGTTACCATCAAATTAGATGTATGCACTTAAGTATATTTAAGGTACTAAAATCATTACATGGCTCAAAAGATTCCAAATCTCTAAATAATAATAATTAAAAACAGAGAGGAATGCTTAATGACTTTCAAGCAGTAAGTAGCCAAGCGAAAGTACAAAAGAGCAGGAAGCTTGTATTAAAGAATGCAGTTTATTAGCTGCTTCTCCAGAATAAAGTTAAATGTTCAGCAAATGGAATGAACCCATAAGGAGTAAAAGCTAGAACTAAGTAAGGGAAGTATTAAAAATATAAATGGAGTTAGTTTATTACTTACTGGGTATGTTTTTCAAACGACCAATATAATGAACTATGGTAGCATTTGTATCTTTATTAAACTCTGCAGCACAAATGATGAAATATGTACCACTCTTGTGTTTCCTAAGCCCTCCGACCTACCAGAGGGTGTGTTAGGTGTGAAGAGGGTGACTACGCCATGTAGTGCGTTAGGAACGCGGCACCGCTGGTGCTGAGACCAACAGGCCCTGGGACTGCGCCTCAGCACCTCTACCTTCCTCAGCCAATTCAGGGCCTTTGGAGATTTTTGCAAGGGTAAAAGACAAGAGCAAATACTCAGCAAAAGGGTGTGTGTTGCAAATGTCTGACAACTAGCGGGAGGTGGGGTGAGAGGGAAAGGTGGTGGGTTGCACGTTTTTCCGTTTTTAGGGTGTAACAGCCAGCTAGAAAAGCTCCTGCAGACTAAGTCAGCTCTTGTGGGGCAGCCAGCCTGCTGTGGACTAGACCTTAAGGCGCTCACCACAGTGGGACACGGTGAACTGAATGCTATTGTGTCTGTGCGTGCACAGGGCGTGCTAACGTCTCCCCGCAGGCTCTCTCAGGCATGCACAGTGTGCCTGTGCAACACAGAACACATGACAATTAGCACGGCCCACCCTCGCTCACGTGATAGCAGGCACAGGCCCGGGGGCGGGCACGTGGCTCACAGACACCCACAGGGGCATCTGTGCGGGTGAGCTCTGCTTTATCTAGCCCAAAAGTAAACTAAGTTCCTTCCTAAACGAACTGCACTATAGCATGCTAGAATTGCTCGGTATCAAAGATGCCGAACATGTTCAGATTTAAGGCCAATACTTATGAAAAGCACACTACAAATCTGCCTATGCAAACCACAGTGTACATTCATGGAAAAGACAACAATGGGCATTTCCGTCCGCCCCCCCCCCGCCCCAAGATGTAAATGCTCTGCCCCACAGGTGCTCGCTGCACCACAAGTGCCAAGGCACCGAGGTCTGAATGTGGACGCAGGATGTGGCGGGAGTGGGCAATGCTCCCAGCTACTTCTGAGCATCCCTTAACCTGCACTGCATTAATAAAAACAGCCTCCGCCTCACCAAGGAGGCAGGAGAGAGTGTGATATCCATGTCATGAAACGCTGTCAACAGGAAAAAATGGACACACGGGAGCATGGTCAATGTTAATTGTTAATGCTTTTTCTTCTAGTCAGATGCTTAAGCTGTAAAGTATTTTGACATTTGTAAAGCAATCGGTATTCATCACTAAAAATTAGGATTATTAATTATTTTAATGAATAAGAAGGCCAGGCATGTTTGCAGAAATTTTGGACTGTTGCTAACCTAAGTATAAAAACATTTTAGTCTCTTAAATTCCAAAGCCATTAGTCATCTTCCTATTTATTACTTGCTTTTTATCTAGAAGCTAAACATTGAGTTCCATCATATTTGTGTCTTTTTTGATCAAATCATCCTCAACCCATAGTTTTCTGTTTTTGTTTTTTTAAGTCGGTTTTGGGGCTTGAACTCTGGGCTTGGGCGCTATCTCTGCACTCTTCAGTTCAAGGCGAGCACTCCACCGTTTGAGCCACAGCACCACTTCCTCAACCCATAGTTTTGTCATTCTCCTTGCTAGAAGGTGAGAACACTGGCAGTATATTCTGCTCAAATATAGAGATGGAATTCAGAAACCCAAATCCTTTCTCTGTTAAGCAAAGGGAACTTAAGCACACACACACACACACACACACACACACAAAATCACTAGAATGGGGGGAAAAAACCTGCAAGTCCCTCCTTACAAGACTTAATAGACTAAAACTCTGCTAGCTATCTGGTAATAATGTATTTTGCTAAATAATACTCAAACTTGGGCTGGAAGGTGGCTCAGTGGTAGAGCACTTGTCTTGCATGCATGAGGCCCTGAGTTCGATTCCTCAGCACCACATAAGCAAAAAGAAAAAAGCCAGAAGTGGCGCTGTGGCTTAAGTGGTATAGCGCTAGCCTTGAGCTAAAGAGCTGAGGGACAGCGCCCAGGCCCAGAGTTCAGGTCCAACGACCAGATCCCCCCCCCAAAAAAAATAGAAATAATACTCAAACTTCAAGAACTCATTTTAAGCCACTTTTATATAACTACTTCTAATCAATAATTAGTTATAATTTGGGAAATAGAAAATAGATATTAGAAAACATATTCCTAAAATAAATCTTCAGCTTACTAACATTAACAGGCTACCATTTCTGAACTGCCTTGCAACTAACTGCTAGGGATGGGCTTCACGAGGCCTTGCTTCATACCCCTCCGGCAGTATTCCTGCTCTTTCCCCTGGGATTTCCTCCCTGGAGCCATGGCTGGCTACCACTCTAAATCAACAGGATTCACACTGGCCCACACACTCTGGCTGGTACCAGGGTCAGGGACCGTGACAACCTCCAGGGGACCCTGAGCATTCCTCACAGGACAGAGGAAGAAGCCCTGTTACCCACGTGACACTCTGAGGACCCTGCAGAAGGGCACGGGAGGGGTGGCGTGGTGCTGGCGGAGTGCGGCTACCTGGTCTCAGGGGCACTGCTGATGGGTTTGGGCAGCACAGAGTCACCACCACAGGGGCCAGCGCGGCTGGTGGTGCTTGTGGTGGTGGCGGCGGCAGCAGCAGCAGTAGCAGCAGCAGCAGCAGCTGGGCTGCCAAGGCTCCGAGCATCGGCAGGCACGCGAGTGCTAAGAGGAGAAGAAAAGCTTCAGGAACACAAGTGAGAAATGGAGATGGACTTGCAAATTGTTTTCGACCAAAAATAAAACATGGCGCAGTAGTGAAAATTATTTTAAAACAGAAAATGCAAATTGCTGTTCAAGATTTAGGTCTGGGTGTAAAGGAAAAGAATAAACCTATTTTCAGTGGCTTTAAAAAAACAAAAACAGTGTAGTTCTTCCCTAACAAATCCTGTCAAATAAAATCAACTTGCAAAAATGATACATGAGGCAGAGGGTGCTCACTTCCCAGACACAGAAATGCCAGCACATTCCAGGAGTCCACGCCAGTGCTAAGGAGTCACAGCTACGTATGTCATGAAAGGGAGACTGGAGGGACACTACAGCTCTCTCCACTCCTAGGGGTGTGCAGTGTTGTTTTGCAAATGTTTACTGTGCACACAGAAAACTGTTTTCTCAAGGCAATTTAAAAGAAAGAAAAGGAGAGGTTTATTCCAAAGCCAGAAAGCATATAGTAGCTGGAGGTTATACAGAAGCTGAGAAAGGAAGTTACTTTAAAAGGTATAGGTCTGTTTTAAATATGCATGTCTTCTTTTGCCCCAAGGCACTGCAGTGTCTTTAAGACAATGCAAATAAGATCTTTAAAATGCAATGAACAAGAAGACTGAAAAAGCACTGAGCTCCAGAGCAAGCACCCAGTTGTCCCAAGAACAAAGCATGCATGAAGAAAAGAACTGGAGAAGCAAATGACTGGAGGAGCACCAAGTACCTGAACCCCTCTGGAGTTGGGATAATGAGATGTGGGTTAGGAGGGTCGCTATGGCATCGAGGCACCTTCACAGGACGGGGACTGTTCCGATGAATAGCTGTCAGAGAAAAGGGCAACAATGCAACTTGTTAAAGAGGACAACAGAAAACATCAAACCCAGCATGCACACACGCGTAAGCACAATGCCGCTCAATTGTCAGAGACCAAAAACAAAACCCTTCTTATCAGCAGACAATGAATTACCTGTACAAACAGTGTGAAAAAATGTCACTTTTCATAAGTCAATAAAGCTCTCTTCAAGTTCTTCTCCACCAAAAACGTGTGTGTGTGTGCGCGCGCGCGTGCTTGCGTGAGCGCGTGAGCACATGCACGCACGTGTATCCCATTCCTGGGGCTTGAACTCCCAGCCTTCATCTTTCACTCCGGTTTTTAACTCATTTGAAGTCACGCCTCTAGTTCCAGCTTCTTGCTGGTCAAGTGAAGATCCTAGGCTGGCTTCAAACCACAGTTCTCAGATTAGATCCTGAATAGCTAGGATTGTAGGCATGAATTACCAGCCTGGCTCAAAAACATTTTTATAAATGACAAAAGTCATTTCAGACATGATGAAAAAATGTGGCTTATTTGGCACTTTCGTTATAAGGATTTCTTTATGTCATCTACAGCCTAAAAGTTTGGGTTGTGGAGACATTTCAATAGGCCCTCTATTGGGGTGGGGGTTGGGGGCGGTCACTGTCGTTTTTTATTTTTGAGAACACAGATTTATTGATTTAAAGCCAAACCAGGTGAGAGAAGGGATGGGTTGGAGTGACGGGTGACAATATTGTCAGACACCTCGTATCTTGTACTCATGTGCTGTTTTGTAGAATGGGAACTTCTTTGTACAACTACTTAAAGATAATAATAATAATAATAACATGTTAGAAAAAGAAAACTTTAAATGATAAAGTATTAAAAAAAGAATAAAGCCAAACCAGGCAGATGGGGCACAAGTTAATTGGTTTTTTTTTTTCCAGAGTATATTTTTCCCTTTTTCTTTCAAGTATTTTAGTAAAAGATAAATATTAAATTTGAGGTAAAATTTTAAAGTTAGATAAAAATTAAAATGAAAGTTTAAAACTAGATCTCAGTAATTACAAAAATGCTCACAATTCCACATTCTCACTAACTGCTGGGCATAAGTAATGCCCATCATGCTCTAACACGATTTCTCGTCCACTCTTTAACTATCTAGCCTTTCTTGGCTGTTTTTAATGTCATATTTTTAATACACATTACTAATTTTAGTCTACATGTGTGATCTCATAAATGGACATCTCTCACTTCATGGTTTTGTTCCTTTTAGAAGCATTACATAGGAAAGACAGAAGCACCAAATTTATAGAGATGTGAAGTTCCAAGTTTGCAAAACAAAAATCAAATTGTTATTAATAAAAACATAAGCATCCAGCAATGCCTCTGCTTTATTATTTTAACACAAGAGAGTAATTCAATAGTAACAAAGTTATTCTTATTAAATAGAGAGAGAAGGGGGGAAGGAGAGATAGGAAGGGAGGGAGGGAGAGAAGGGGGTAGACGGGGGGCGGGGGAGAGAAAGGCAAAAGCCAGGTGCTGGTGGCTCATGCCTGTCATCCTAGCCACTCAGGAGGCTGAGATCTGAGGAGCCTGGCTCAAAGCCAGCCTGGGCAGAAAAGGCTGCAACTCTTATCTCCAATTAACCACCAGAAAACTGGAAGTGGAGCTGTGGCTCAAAGTGGTAGAGCACTAGCCTTGAGCCAAAGAGCTCAGGGATAGTGCCTAGATCTTGAGTTCAAACCCCATGACCAAAAATAGGAAATGGGGGGAAGGGAGCAGGAATGCTAGGTGGGCACCTGTGGTTTGCATGGTAATCCCAGCTACTTAGGAGGTTGAGATCTGAGGATTATGGTTTGAAGCCAGCCCAGGCAGGAAACTCATCTCCAAAATAACTAGGAAAAAGCAATGCTGAAAGTGTGGTAGAATGCCAGCAGAGCAAGCAAACAAGCCAAACAAGTGTAAGGCACTGAGTGCAAAGCCTAGTACAAAAAAAGAGGGGGGAAAAATTTGATGGGGATGATGTCATTATCTGGCAAAGACAGTTGGAACTACTCAGTCAACAATTACTACAACATTTTCTCATGAAGGTATAAAGGCACTCTACTAAAAAGAAAACAACAGCCGGGCACCGGTGGCTCAGGCCTGTCATCCTAGCTACTCAGGAGGCTGAGATCTGAGGATTGCAGTTCAAAGCCAGCCTGGGCAGGAAAATCTGTGAGACTCTTATCTCAAATAAACCACCAGAAAACCAGAAGTGGCACTGTGGCTCAAGTGTTATTGAGTGCTAGCCTTGAGCTGAAGAGCTAAGGGACATGCCCAGAGTTCAAGCCCCACACCTGACCAAAAAAAAAAAAGGAAGAAAGAAAGAAAGAAAAAATCAACTGCACAATGCATAATATTCTCAATGCATTAAAATTTTTATTTTAAAAGGATGCATATTTAATGTTTCAAAACTATAACATTTCATTGGAGAGAAAAGTCAACAACCAATAAACACAGAACTTCAAATTTTACTAGTGGTAAACAGTTATTATGGAGATGTTTTTCACAGCATCAAACAGAGAAAAGAATGGTATAGTAAAGAATGGAAGAAAATATTCAGTATATATATGATGGCTACAGTGTAGCAGTACAGAGAATGAACTAGATATGTACCTGATATGGAGCGATCTCAACAATTGTCAGGTTAAAAGAAAACACAAAGTATTACTATTCAGTATGACTCAACTTTTATACAGTAGGTGGCCCTATACATACTTGTGAGCTTACTTGAGAACAGAAAAGGGCAGGGTAGAGTGTGTTAGTGTAATTACTCGAGGTACAGGACACACAGAAGGGTATAGTATATATACCACCATATTGTTCTTTTACTTCCACGCTTAAAGGAGAAGAGAACATAAGCAAGAATAATAACGACAGAAGGTGACAATCCAGTTTTTGTGAACGTCTCTTTTTTACGAAAGTCTGTGGGGGACATACACGGTTAATTACCAGGGTCAACTACCATAGTTAATCTTCCTCAGGTGTCCTACTTGATGCATTCCAGGAAAATGCAATCAAGGGCATCAAATGAGCTGCCCTGGGTCCCAGGTGATCTGGCAATGCTCAGAGTGGCTGAGGGGACAAAGAACCACCTGGGCACTCACTGTGTCAACAGCATTTAAGGTGACAGGTATACTGAAGGACCTCAGATGGAGGTATGGGATTACCTGTGGATTATGGGACTATGTGATATTTAGTCTTTGGTGATTTCTTTTACACTGAAAAATTTCTTAATGGATATCTTCTAAGCTTATAATAGTTCTCCTAGTTGTAACTATTCTATAAAGAAAATGAATCTTTAAATAGTAAAATGTTTTTAAAATGGTTTATTGATCATATAGATCAGAAAACCAAATTCTATTTATGATAATGGGCTTAAGCCCATTAGTCTTTTATATAAATGCTCAAATAGTTTTACAAATAATAACTTTCATCTTCATAGTAGACAGGAGAAACTAAGTTTGTATAAACTGAATGAATTTTAAAGGTTAAAAAAATACAAACCATACTGAACACCTGTTATTAGGCTATTTTCTGGAGCTATAAAGGATGCTTCTAGAAATAAAGATGTGTTCAGCAAACATATCATTTATAAAATGTTTGTGTGTTCTGGATTTTCATTTTGGGGTGTTATTTTTACATGTGAGCATAGTTTTGTTTTATTTACAGACTATATCAGGAATGACATGAGACACAGTCTTTTCTTGACATTCTGACGTTTTACGATACACTAAGTGTAGTTGAAAACTCCGGTAGAATATTTACTTTGACTATATAACTTGATCTTTTCAAACTAAAAAACAAAGAGGGACTTGCTACAAGAAGTAGAGATGCAGATATGGAAGAGAAGATGGCAGAAAATCAAGATTCTTCTCCAAGAATTATGAAAGAAGAGGCAGAAAGACCACTGACCCACCAGCAGAGGGGAGGCTCCTACAGCACCTAGTCCAGGCTCTCCTCCCCATCTACGAAGATTTTAACAGGAAGAGTAGAATGCAGTATTGGTATAAGGGAAAGCAAAGTAGCTCAACCTTACTAGCTATCGTGAAGGATTACTGTGGAGTTCTCCCATACATACCGCATCACTGTCACTGATTTGTCTCCTATCATTACAAATGACAGTAATGCCAAGATGGTTTACTCATGGGAAGCAGAGGCTGCAGGAGAAATGTCTTACCAAGGTACAGACCTGTAACGGGGCTGTGAGGCTTGCCAATAACGTGGCCGATGCACTCATTCATCAAGGCTTGTAGGCTCTGTCAAAGGAAAATGGGAAAGAAGATGAGAAAAAGAGTGTACCTTTAATTGCATAAGCAGCACAAATCAAGCCTTCAGTGTATTTCAGAGAATACCATCTTGAGAAAGTATTTTTCAAAGTTAATTTAAAATATAAGAATAAACATAAGCACAAATTGTGCATAACAATATATACAAATTACACATTTATAAAGTAAAGCAAATGAGCAGCTGATATGCATAAGCAAAGGACTTTTAACGGGAAAATAAAATGAATCAATATCTTGAACATTTTTTGGATCTGATGGAATTGTTTAGAACAATAGTAGTGATATTTAACAGACAGTATGCTCTTCAGTGATGACTAGAAAGAAATAACTGATTCTTATTCTTCATTAAACTTCCAAAACACCTCAGATGTGCCGTGGCTTCCAAGCACTTTGACACTGACTTAACTGATCATCACCGCTACAGAGACAAAGGGCATGGAAGGCCGTGCTGTGCTAGGAAGCATGCTTAAACTTGTCTACGTCACTGGGATTACAGAGGCCCTGCTTAAACTCATCATTATATATAAAATATATTACCCGGGAATTAAAAAATGACCAACTCTTGTGTTTCTTAATGAAAAAAATAAGTATCCATACCAAGAAGTCATCTTCTGGTAAAGCTGAGATGAAGGCAGGCTCAATAGCTTGTAGGAAATCAAATCCTTGGGTTGCCCACCTGCCATATGAAAAAATGTGCAATAATTACAAAGCAGCCATGAAAACATCACCACAGACTGAAACTCCACGAGAAAATACATTTTTCTTGACTTTATATCAATGCCTTGGATGAGTAAGTTTATAGTGAGGTCTTTTGGAAAAAGATAAAACAGCATTTTTTTCAACTGTTTATTTTGAAGCCAATTGAAGACAGAAATGCCCATCTGAAATCCATTTAGTAATAAGTTTAAATTTAGTGAGGGAAGAAAAGAAGATTAGCAGTCAGGAAGACTTGTTGACCAAGCATGTGAACTTCCTCATGATAGTTTAGTTTGAAATACATTTTTTTTAAAGTTTCCTTAGAGTTATGGGGCTTTTCTTCCTATTTACGTATTTTTGTATTAAAAAAATACATGATTAGAAGTGGAACCAGCTATAGACCTAAGAGTAAAAGGCTTAATTTAAGTGCAAGCTCCAGTACTGGCACACACAATAAAGTCCTGATTAAGCCAGGTACCAGTGGCTCATACCTATAATCCTAGCTTCTGAAGAGACTGAGATGCAGAGGATCATAGACCAAAGCCAGCCTGGATTAGAAGTCCACAAAACTCCATCTTTAAATGATTCGCTCAGAAGTCCCATTTCCCTTACAGGGCCATGCTTAGCACTAGAAAGGTGATGCTGGGCTGTTACCTGGGTCTTGTTCCTCTTCCACTCTCACATTTGGTCAGGACGTAATTCATCCACTTCCGAGCAAAGCTTATATACTTGTCTCCGATCTTCTGTCTAAACTCTCCAGACATCAAACGAACAACTTCTTTATGATACTGTAAGAAAATTTCATGTCTATTTACTAAGAAGCAAATTATTATAGTAATACCTACACACTATGATACCATTTCTGCCTAACTAAAATATCATTTTCTAATATATTCTCAATTATATAAAGAATGTCTCAAAGTCCAGTTTTTTGTGTTATTCATAAGTTTATATTAAGAATGTTTATAATATTCAAAATCTTTCACAGAAAGTTTTAAATGTAGTAGATAGCCATCAGCACAAATAATATCTGGGCAACTGACAGTTTGAAACAAAACAAGTGTTTCTGCTGTCTACCGGCAGAAGAGACGACATTCTTGGCCAGACTATGACTATAATTAACATTGAACTTCCTGTAAAAGATTCAGAATACTTTCTGTATGTTACAAAGCAATTGCTAAGCTGTACTTCAGTTTTCCTCATTTTGTACCTACTTCAAACCCAAAGTTGTAGCCCTGGATCATGGCTTCTCGGTAGTACTGCTGCAGTGTGACGGATTCGGATTCATCCACTTCTGCATCGAATTCTGATGTGAACATGTGGTCTACCCGGTCAATGGCATCACTTATTCTGTTGCAGAGCTCCAGAGCATCATTCTGAAGAGGTCCGAACCACAGTCGATCCAAATGAAGCAAGGAAGAGTTCATTCAAATATTATAGTCACTGCAATCCATGGCAGTTGTCAAAAATGACTTAATACAGAGGAAACTGTATTATTTTCATTGTCATCTGTTGGAGGCCTTTTAGCATCTTATAAAGTGCAAAATTGACAAAAATCCATTTAAAACAATAATGATCAACTGCAATCTGTTCTTAAATAGATGTTGGTGCTTTCAGTATTTCTGTGTACCAATCACTACAGATATTATGGTAGTGCTTAGAGTCACTTTCGGTTACCAAAATGGAGAGGTAGAAGGTACCACCATCTAGTGGGTAGAGGCTGCCAAATACCCTGCAGTGCATAGATCACACCCCACAACAAAGGATTACTGGCCTCAGATATCAATAGCACCGAGGCTGAGAAATCTAGCCTTCATTCAAGCTTTTATTCCCTCTCTAAGCAATATCACAATAGTTCAGATTTGGTCTCTCTTCCCACTTGACCTTAACTATAAGTACGTGTGAACTTATTATACAATGTCCTTGCGAAATCTTTTCTCTTTTTTTTTTGGGGGGGGGGGTCCAGTCATGGGGCCTGAACTCTGGGCCTGGGCGCTGTCCCTCAGCTCTTCAGCTCAAGGCTAGCGCTCTACCACTTGAACCACAGCACCACTTCAGTTCCGGCTTTTTTTCTTTTTGCTTATGTGGTGCTGAGGAATCAAACCCAGGGCCTCAGGCATGGAAGGCAAGCGCTCTGCCACTGAGCCACCTTCCCAGCCTCTTTTCTAACTCTTTGAGGAGTAGAAAATAAAATCTGATGTAACGCCACAAACACTTGTGCTCACCCTAATTCAGTAGTCATATCTCCTGTTACTTTGCACTGAACACATGAAGGTCCAGCCAAAGCAGAATAGGAGATATTTAGTGAACAAATCATAACTTTGATTTGTGGACACTGAGGCTCCAATGTTCCTTTTGTCAGCTGCTTCTCAATCCACACGTTGTCACCCTCCCAAACTGATGTGCCACCACGGTGTATTTTCAGACACTACTGGGAGGCTCTACCTTCTCGCATCTCTGTACTTCAGTGGACCATTCTGATCCTTGGGTCTACCACCTCCCTAAATTCAATGAACATCTTAAAACCTGTGCATTCTCAAGAATACACTGGCTAAAACTAAAAGAAAAAGCTTTTTTTTTTCTTTTTTTTTTTTTGCTGTGGTACTAGGTTAAGACTGTAATCTATAAGAGATACATAGACAAATAAGACATGTCAGATTGACAGAAAAAAAAACAACAAATGTTTAACAACTGACATAAACTTTTGGGGACTGCTGTTCCTTTAAGAGTCACTCCTTGAGCTGGGCGGCAGTGACTCACAGGTATAATCCTAGTGAGACTGAAAAGGATAGCAGTCTGTGGCCAGCCTTGGCAGCAAGTTCTCTCAACAAAAAGCTAGACATGGTGACACATGCCTGTTTTCCTAGTTGTGAAAGGTAACACAAGCAATTGTGCTCAGAAGCATGCCTGGGTAGGAAGCAATCTCAAAAATAACCAAACAGGGGGCCGGCAAGGTGGCTCAGTGGTAGAGCGCTTGGCTTGCATGCATGAGGCCCTGGGTTCGATTCCTCAGCACCACATAAGCAAAAAAGAAAAAAGCCAGAAGTGGCGCTGTGGCTCAAGAGGTAGAGCGCTAGCCTTGAGCTGAAGAGCTGAGGGACAGCACCCAGGCCCAGAGTTCAGGCCCCACGACCAGACCAAAAAAAAAAAACTGGCACTATGACTCGACAGTAAGTATACCTGCCTAGCAAGTGTGAAGCTGTGAGTTCAAAACCTAGTACAGCGTCACCCGCCACCACCCCCCGAAAAAAACATGCTTTAGTGTGACTAAGAAGAAAAGCTGGTGGCCTAGAGGAGAGCAAGACTGATAAATGGGTATGAAATACAATGTTGAAGACAGGGGAAAAAAATGGAGAAAGCATGAAAGCCTCTGGTTTAACATAAACCTTGTGGGTTGTTGCCCTTATCTACAAATGACTTTAACCACTATGGTTAATTTGGCTTAATCATTAGTTAAATGAAGCAACTAATACAGAATACCTCCAATAAACGCTAATGGAGAAAAAAATCTGCATTAGGAGGGAAGTGACCTAAGCTTTTATCACTATTAACTAGCAATGTGATCACTATAAAGGTACCTAACTGCTCAGTTTCCTGCTGCTTCCAATTCTAAAGTCCTAGATTTAGGAAAGATCCAGGAATTTCTCAGTACACAGATATCTGAGCGTACTACAGCGAGAGAAATAGAGTCATGGTCCTTACATGACATCACAGCACACCATCTGACTCCTCCACAGCGCTCTACCCAAAGTTAAGGCCATCAGGCACAGCAGAGGGGACAGTAGAGTACCTTGAGCTGCTGCAGAGCTTTGGCGATGACGGGCTGACTAGATGTCTGCTCGTGGCGCAGAGTCATCAGCCCCTCGATGGACTGCTGGAAGGCTTTCCTCTGACTTGTGAGATGAGCAGACTGCATAACAACTAGAAGAAAATTCTCCACCTGGGAGGAAAACCAAACAGTATAAAAAAGCAAACCAGTAACTGCTTTCCCACGTTAGTGCAGCCACCCCCAGCTACCAGCCAACAGCCACCCGAATAGCCACTTGCAAGCAAAGCTTCCCCCGAGCAAGGCACCACAATGGTCGGAAACATCCCGATTCTTCGGCAAAGGAGAGAAAAACGGGCCTGTGCAGATATGGCAGCTTTGAAATACCCTCACACCCGCGTAGTTCTGCTAGTGTCCAGTGTGTGTGCTGTGTGTGTTGGAGCAACACATGAAGACAGGAGAAACAGGAATACAAATACGATCAGATCAGAGGCCTAGCATAAATCATTATTGAGACCGCATCTCTTTTATTCTTTAAGAGACAGCCACTCCCAAAACAAGTATAGAATTGGAGGGAAAAAGGTACGGCTTGAAACAGGGAAACCAATGGTAAGTGTGAAGCTCTCCTTCAGGAGAGGGCCGGTGATGCTGTGGCTGTGCTGGTGGACCTGGGGGCACAGGAGAGGATCACTGGCTAATCAGGCTTCCCACGGTCAGGGTGAATGATAAACAGGCTGGCAGGTTGCATGTACACTAGCTGTCACATTTCTGGGTTAAACACATGAGTGGGTGGTGTGTGGTTCACTTAGGCAGAGAAGGCAAGAGGAAGAACAGATTTGTAAGGTGGAAGGAGATGGCATCTAGCATGACTGACTCTGGTCAGGCTAACTCCAGATTCATGTGAGCATTTACCATTGCTGTTCCTAAGATGACCACAGGATGTGTGAGAAGGATCCTTTAGAAGCTGTACTACCGGGTGAAAATGAACAGCCAGTTAACAGAGCACCCAGGGAATGAGGATTTCTGGAACTACCCATTGTATTAGTGAGATGGTGCCTTGTACAGCACAGGCCTCTAAACCTGCGTGCACGACTGAGCTGAGGAAACGCATAAAAAAATAGATTACTCCAAATACTCCAGTATAATTTAACATAATTAACAGAGCTCAATGGAATATTTGAGTATAAATTAGGCTGCAAATTACCTCATAAAGCACTGAGGCATATTTCTAGGACGTATATACATTTAAGGTACTAGCGATTCACTACTCCTGAAAGCGTTCTAAGTAGCAGAGGTGGGAAGCAACAGACGGGCAGGAGAACCAACCTGCATGCTTTTCAGGGTGTCCACAGTCTCCACCTGAGGCACGATCTTGACAGGCTGAGCGTCCCACGTGCCCCAGCTGTCATCTGCTCGGTCCCCAAGTTTGGTGAGAAGCAGATAGGCGTCAATGAGCACATCGTCAGGGTCCTTTGAGCAGTCCTTCCCTGCGGCAGCATTGAGTAGCTGTAAAATAATACCCTTCTCCTCGGCAAGGGTGTCCGGAACAAACATGTGCAAGCTTTCTAATCCGGGAATCTGTACCTGGAAAAGAAATAATCCATTCTTAAATTAAGGAACACTGTACACACAGAAATGTTACCTACAAACAAACTAGCTGGGCAGTGGTGCACAAGCCTGGAAAGCAGGAGGCTGAGGGAGGAGGATCATGAGTTTAAGACCACCTAGATTAGTTCTACACACCAAGTTCAAAGCAGCCTGAGATAAAGTGTGCTGAGGTAAGGAACAAACAGATTTAAGAAAGAGGATGTGGAAAAGGCAATAATCTCAACAATGAAGGGAACTGCAAGAAGCTCTGTGTGCCAGAAGGAAGAGGAAATAAAAAAACTGAGAAGTCCCAGCAGTCTTCCCAATTATGGGACACTGCCTCTCTCACTTTAAACAATGAAGAAGCTGATTTGGAGGGGGGTGGGGGATAGAGAATGGGCCTGAAGCACCTTCAGGCAGTGCAAGTCCATCTGTGGTGCTTCTAAAGTCATCGGATGATCCAAAGGGCTGGTGTCACAGAAAGCCACCAAGCAATCAGTTCAACCACCACTACGATGCAGTCAACACATCCAACCCCAGCTCACTTCACCCTGGCTTGGCAGAAATATTCCAGTGACATCACAACCAGATTCAAAAGTGATGAACCTCAAACAATTTCAAGAGGAGTAAACATGGGAATTCAAAAGTAATTTTAAGCTACTGGTTTATGCCTATATTCCTAGTTCTAAAGGATCTAAAGGATCAGGGTTTGAAGCCAGTCCAGGAAGAGAAGCCCATGAGCTTCCATCTCTAAAATAATCAGCAAAAAGCCAGACTGGAGATATGATCAAGCAAAGCAAGCCAAGCAAGTTAAAGGCCTGGAGTTCAAACCCCTGTACTACCAAAATAAATAGATAAATAAAATACTAACTATATATAGGATGCTGGCATCAAAGAGTAATGTAAAACTATGAAGTTGCTTTAGGATATCTAACGGTGAAAAATACAGTCATTTTTTTTTTTTTTGGTCAGTCATGGGACCTAAACTCTGGGCCTGGGCGCTGTCCCTCAGCTCTTCAGCTCAAGGCTAGCATTCTACACTTGAGCCACAGCACCACTTCTGGCTTTTTCTGCTTATGTGGTGCTGAGGAATCGAACCCAGAACCTCATGCATGCAAGGCAAGCACTCTACCACTGAGCCACCTTCCCAGCCCCCATTATTTAAAATAATTTGATTATCTACATCCTCTAGGGTAAGTTAATAAGAATGAAAAGGTTTATTTATTTTTTTAATTATTTCACAACGAAATTACAAAAATTAAGCCCACAAATGGGGTTCATGTATGGTCTCCAAAGCTATTGGATCTTTATGAAAACGTTTTAGGATAAAACAAGAAGTGTAAAAAACTGTCAAGCATAATCTCAGATATTCACCTTCACACACTGTTTTGCTTTCAGAACACCCAGGAAGTCTCTAACTGGGGCAGAGAGTACAAATTCTGCAGCAATCTCCAGGTCCTAGGAGGAGTGACAAAGAAATCTCTTTAGGGTTCATTTCCTAAAAAGTACAGAAGAAACCCAAGAATAAAAATAATACCTAACCAGGTATGTAAACTCACCTTTCTCAACATTTTAGCAAAGCCCAGTGCTTTCGAGGCTCTCTCTCTGGCCTCATGGAAGAGCTCCTTGAGGGCCCGGCTGATCTCTATGACGGACCTCCTGCCAGCAGAGGAAAGCCTGTCAGTGCATGTCAGGGCAACAGCACAGGAACAGTGAACCACAAGATGCTCCAAGTCCCAGTCACAGTAACCAGTAAAGACTGGGTGCTTTCAATGGAGTGAGCAGTCACTGAAAACGAACTCAGAATGTCACAACTGTAACACAAACTGTAATAAAGCATGATGGTGAAATCGCTAGAAAACTGAGCTTCTTGTTATTAGAACATTATTAAATATCCCTTACTGTGAGGAAGAAGTTTCTGAGTACATTTGCAATTAATTGCTTATTGCCCTTGAATGCATTCAAGTCTCTGACAGTCAGTTTAGGATCTGATTAAAAAGGAATGTGTGTTTATGTAGTATACATTATATATATATATATATATATATATATATATATATATGTTATATATTGTACACAAACATATACACACACCACCTGGCAAGTGCCTAACAACCATGCTGGCTGTGTGCCGGTGTGCAATCTTCCTGTACTGACATCCTAACCACAGAGCCAGCTGCAGTGTGGGCGCGAGAAGCCAGGCCAGTACAACACTGTACAAAGCAAGCCCCTTCTGGGGCTTTCTAACAAACAGCCATGTTCTAGTTCACCATCTTAATTAGTGTGTTTATATTGGATCTACAACATTAGATCTCAAAACTACAAGCCCTACAAACTGATCAATTCTATTTCTCAGCTATTCATTCATTTTCCAGGTGGAAATGTTTTCTTTAACCTCAGCATAGAGACATCCCAGGTGTTCTGAAACACAAAATGTGTTTTACATCAAATGCTGAGTGGTGACAAAAAACACTGTAGCTTTGGAGAGGTCAGTTTTATCTGAACACTTGCTAAGACTGAGTCATGTATTACCAATATATGGCCACAAAATAGCTACCTGACTGCAATATACACCAAAGAAAAATAGCAATTTCAATAGTTTCACTAAAATAGCATCTGCACAGAACTGGAAGAAACTCAACAGATAAGTAAACATGGTTTCAGATACTTATATATAAAGTTTAACAGAAGGAATCATCCAGGCTTAAAACCAATACTCTATCAAACGTCATTAAAAGGTAGCAATGACTATGCAGACATTCCAGAAAACAAAGGCAAAGACATAGTTAATTATATTCATTTTCATGCAATTTTATCCCTTCCTCTGAATGCACTGATTTATTTTGGAAATAAACTCGGAGTTCATTTTCAAAGATAACTTCACATAAATCATATATAGACAAGACAGAAGTAAACAGTCCACGAGGTCTCTTCTCCAGATCTCTCCACTCAATACCATCTGGTTTGAGTGAGGCTCAAGACCACACCTAAAACCCCAGGAGGAAGAGAAAGGCGGTGGTGAGAACACAGCCCACCTTATTTCATCGGAAGCGCTGCTGTCGTCAGCGCTGCTCCAAAATTCAGCACAGCTCTCCTGCAGGCCATATTCTAGGAAGCTTCCTGTAGATTTCAACAGCATCCCGGCAATGTCACTAAGGAAACAAAATAACAAAAATAAAACAGAAGGAAAACTGTTCTGGAACTCAAACAGTTCAGCCCTAAATACAGCAGTTTAAAAATCAGCCACACTGAGCATTATGATTAATATGAAAAGCAGTTCGCTAGAATGTAACATATACCTACCCTTGTACTACTACCACAATATTCCATTATGATCATAAATCTTAATTTGTATTTATAGTGGCTGCATGATGACTACAAAAATATTTCCTTCTTAAATGTTCAAAATGGCACAAAATGTCTCAAATAAGGATGGGTGATGGGTCAATGTGACTGAAATACATATGTATGTATGGACAGAAATAGTATAATGAAGCCTACTAGCAGTCATGTAAATAAAATAAAAAAAGAAAAGGGGATAGGAGAGCGTGATTTTATCATAATAAAACCCTTTCATATAACTAATACATAACAGTAAAGAAGCATAAAAATAAAAGGGTTCTAATGATTGGAAAGCAAAGTCAGTAAATGTAACTGTTTTCTCACATAATAGCTTTTATAGATGATAAACATGAAATACTCTACATAGTTCTTCTCATTGGCTAAACAACCAGAATATCAGTTTAAAATAGCCAAGTATATTAAAAAAAAAAAAAACTGAATAGCTGTAGTAAAAATTCAGTAACAGTTCACTGATCTCAATAATGTTCAAGGAAAGGCACTTCAGACCTAGTAAAGGGCAGGTGACACATAACCGATGTCAGATGTGAAGAAAGTAAGTTATAGAAGTGGGCTGTTTTCTGAGGAGAAAGACAAGCCCTGTGGAAGGAAAAGTGGTTTGGTGTGCAGAAGACCTGAGGTGGGCCTGCTGACAAATGCCGCATAGAACAGGGAGAACAGGAGGAGCAGGGCATGGTCAGGAAAGAAAATGAGGGAGGGAAAGAAAAGGCCAGGGAGAACAGGACAGGATGAAGGCACGAAGGAATGTCAAGCAAGACACATGCTCATGAATAAGGAACTGTCGGATGTGTGAGGAGCAGAGGGTGTTTGTGCTGCAAAGAGATGTCCACAAGACCAGAAGCAAACTGGGGCCTGCGATGGGGAAGAGGCAGTGTAAGAGGAGGGAGAAAGACGTAGGGAGAGGAAGCAAAGGAAAATATATAGTACTTCAGAATATTCCTCAGCGCTTTGGGGGCAGGAAGCTATGAAATACCTGTGGGTAGGAACTTTGATTTCAAACAAGCTGTGGCAGCTAAGACCTGAAGGAAGTGGGGAAATGAGTCAGGAAGATAACTTAAAAGAGAGTCTGCTGGGGAGGGCGCGCACATGCAAAGACTGGGGCAGGACCGGGGCCAGAGGGTTCAGAAGGGAGGCCCTCAGCTATACAGTAAGCCCGGCACAGGATAATCAGGATGAAAAGTGCAAGAAGCCAGCCTGTGGCCAGCATTAGGGACCACTGTTCAGGCTTTCTCACTAGACAGAGAGCTGCAAAATGTCCGGAGGAGAAGGGTCTGATATACCACTTCACAAGTGCTAGAACTGAGAATCAATGGCAGGAGATTCCGGCAAAAGGAGGCAGGTGCTGAGTGCTAGGTGCTAATGGCAGCCAGAAAAGGCAGGTCGTCGGCAAAGGCCTAACTCTGGACAAAGCTGCAACGACAGTGTGTGTCGGGAGGAGGGGTGGGACTGATTCCCCTGGGAAAGGCTGAGGGAGAGCCTGCTGCTGCCCCCGGCAGACAGGATGAGTCCAGGAGCAGAGCAGCAGAGACAGCAGTCCCCGGTTAGACAGCAGAAAAGCCCAGGGGGATTTTTAGAACATTAGAAAATTGGAAGGAAAAGCAAAAGATAAAAAGATGCTGACCAAAGAAAGTAAAGGTTCAGTGAAATTACATAATTAGGCTCTGTAGTGAAACTTAGCAGGAACCTTTAACCATTTTTTTTGTTCAACAAAGCAGTCTGGACACGGAAAGTGCCAAGCGAAGGGATGACAAGGCAAGGCAGCAGAATGGTGGAGATTTCAGAAGGGAGTAGTGACAGTGAAACCTGGAGGCCGCTGCCTGAGGACTGGGGGTGAAGAGACAAGCCAAGTTCACCGCTGGGAGGGAAGCTGCCATATAAGAACTGGAGATCCAGGAAGAAAAGTGGGTACAGACTTTGAAACAAGCTGGTGCCAGTGTCTCACACCTGTCATCCTAGCTACTCAGAGATCTGAGGACACAGCTCAAAGCCAGCCAGGCAGGAAAATCCATGAGATTCTTATCTCCAATTAACTACCAGAAAACCAGAAATGGAGCTGTAGCTCAAAGTGGTCAGAACCTAGCTTTGAGCAAAAAAGCTCAGGGATAGTGCCCAGGTCCTAAGTTCAAGCCCCACAACTGACCAAAAAAGAAAGAAAAAATTCTGAAATGCCAAGGTAGGCCAGTTTTGGGGAGCTACAGTCCTACAGTCTCAGAGCCTGTCAGGAAGGAGGGAGGTGCATCTGGGCTGTAATGCACACACACCTTATAAAAAGCAGTGAGAAGAAATAAAGCAGCTGAACAGAGGAGCAGAGCAAGGCTGCACCCAGGACCAGTTCAGGGCCCAGCGCATGGGACAGCGCTTCACCCGCACCCTGACTCCAAGCAAGCCAGACTGGAGCATCTGCAACAGAATTCAACAGTCTACGCTTGACTGGAGAAATGTGCTCTTTTCCTCAAACAAGCAGACTGTAGTCCCTCTTCAAGACTGTCCTGGCTCCAGTTCTATTCTTTCCCCATGTAGAAAACAGTGCAGAGAGATGCTGCAATTGCATCACCTCTAACCACCATCAGTGCACAAAAACATACTTAAAAAAATCTGAATGTTCCCACCAATACTGAAACACACAGGTCTACTCTACCCTTAAAGGACTTTGGCTCCCCTCCCTTTCATTAAAATCAGTGAAACAAAAGCAAGAGGATTCACTCTGAAGCAGTACACCTCAAGTTCAAGACTTTGGGGTAGTTAATTGGGGGGGGGCGCTGGGGGCTGACTGGAAGCACCCCTGGCCTCTACCCACCAGGATCCATCAGCACCCTCCCCACTGAAGCCATCAACACCCTCGGAACACCATGTGTCCCCAAAGAGGCACTTAGCAGAGAGGAGTAACATTGTGTCTGTGTAAACATTCAAACATGTAAAAGGAAATCAATCAATGAGCAACTAGAGGGAGAGCAGAAAGGGGGGACGGAAGCCATAGGATTCCTACCAGAAAAGTTTTCCAGCCTGTGCTTCTCCTCCCCGTATATAATGAGTTATTTCTTTGGTGAAATTCCATTCTTCTTCTAACAAATTTTTTAAACTATGTGATGCTTGAGGTAATTGCTGTAGCATTTGGATCCAGCTTCTCATGTAATCAAAATATACCTTAAAATACAAAATTGTAAGAGATTTGAGAGAATTGACCAACCCTGAAGTCTATCTTGAGTCTACATGAAAGCTCTACGTGGAAGGGAACGACTCATCTCTTCGGCATCCAGGTCCCTCCCTGAAAACTCTCTGGCCACCCCAGGCTGGCCCCACCCCACCTCAGCATATGTCACCTTGGCCCGGGCATGCAGCAGAAAGAAGCTACCAAAGCAGCTACCAGCCCCAGAAGATGAAGTTTCTTGTTCATCTTCACCAGTTCCAGAGCTATGCAAGGCCCCTACCACCTCTCCCAAGAATTACAAAAATGGCTGCTGTTAGGAGGTCAAATGCAACAGAATAGCTTTTTATTCTCTTTCTGGACCATTCGTTTATATGACAGACTACCCTATCATTTTACAGTGATCTAGGCTAAGACTTGCCAAAAATGCCAACTTAGAAAATCATTAAGGACTTAAAAACAAATGTGGGCTTAGAAAAAAGAATAACAGGGCTGGGAAGGTGGCTCAATGGTAGAGCGCTTGCCTTGCATGCCTGAGGATCTGGGTTTGATTCCTCAGCACCACATAAGCAAAAAGAAAAAAGCCGGAAGTGGCTCTGTGGCTCAAGTGGTAGAGGGCTAGCCTTGAGCTGAAGAGCTGAGAGACAGCACCCAGGCCCAGAGTTCAGGCCCCACGACCGGACCCAAAAAAAAAAAAGAATAACAAGTATAATCTGCTAGATGGAAGGAACCGGGCCAAACAAAGCCTGCCACACTCACAGGTACACACAGGCAAGAGGCATGTCCCCCTTACCATCAACATCTTCTGCAGGTCCTCTTCAAAAGCATCGATGTTGCAGTCCATCTTCTCCAGGTCTTCCAGAACCTCTTGCAGCATGAACTGGTAGTACTGCTTCATCAGAAGGCCACCCTTCAGCACCTCCTTGCATTCTCTCACCAGCTGCAAGGAACAGATACAGCCCTGCTGTTCTCACATCCTACCAGGGTAGAGATTCTCATACACTCCTTCTAAGAAATTCACAAATGGGGAACTCTGCCTCTGGGAAACCTAAACTTGTTTCCGGATTTTTGACTGACAGTAAGTAAATATCCTAGTAGTCTCAACTAAGAACAAAATAATGAAAACAAACAAATTTACTATTCCAGAGTGGATACACAGAGGAAACACATACACAACTACTCTGCTAAAATACACTCTCCTGCAAATAAAATTTGTGCTAAAATTCTACAGGAAAAAAAGAAGACAAGAACTAAAAGGAGGAATTTTTTTTTTGGTCAGTCGTGGGGCTTGAACTCTGGGCCTGGGCACTGTCCCTCAGCTCTTCAACTCAAAGTGAGCACTCTACCACTTGAGCCACGGTGCCATTGCCAGTTTTCTGATGGTTAATTGGAGGTAAGAGTCTCACAGACTTTCCTGCCTGGGCTGGCTTTGAACCGCAATCCTCAGATCTCAGCCTCCCAAGTAACTAGGATTATAGGCGTGAGCCACTGGCAACTGGCTCAATCTAATGAAATTTTAAATTTTAACCTAAAATATAATGAGGATATGCTTACATACCACAGAATGTGGCACCCTTTACAATATTTAGCAGTATGCCTACTTCTAAACTTGGCTTTGCCTATGATGAGAAAAAGTCTAGTAAACGTATTAACATTGTTTTACGAGGTCGGGAATAGGGGAGAGTAATGAGGAAATACTTCAATAAAGATAGACTATTTGCATGTGTAGAAATGTCATAATGTAACTCCCTAGTACAACTAATGCATGCTAATTTAATAAAAGCATAGAATTACAAAAACAAGCATATAAATTGTAGCTGGAAAGAAAAGAAAACAAAGCAAAAAGATGGGCAAACGTGTAATATATTGGTTTTTCTAGTAGGTGATGTTGGAGTGGAGCAGAAAGCTGCAAGGAGACCACCTGAGGGTCCCAGGTCCCTCCAACATGGTACCTCAAATCCTCGTCACACGACTGTGGTACAAGACGAATAGTCATGTTCTCACTCATATCCATACACGTAAGCTTTCTCTAAGTTCAAACCAGCTCCTCTGTTTACTGCTGCTTCACACTTAAGAAGTAAATGTTTAGCACAATGTTATTTAAAACAAGAGACTAAAAAACTATCATGTGCTATGTAGTGGAGTCATTAAAATTCTTATGTTTTAAAAAAAATCTATGGAGAAGTCATACACTTATACATGTGCACATATGTACTTGGAGGAAGGTGCTTTGTGGAGAAAACAAAGGGCAACAGCAACGTGTTTCTGCACACATCTCCCGAGTGGCAGGAGAATAGCGTAATTTTTATTTCTGTGTCGCTTTTTGTGGTTCTCAAATTTTCTACAATAAACACAGATTGCTCTTACAGAAGTCCTTACATGTTTTGTAAAATAATTATCATCAATGAGAACTGTGGCTACAGTTAAATCTACCAAAAAGTGTTCTGTTCACATTATATAAACACAAGTTCCTATATTAAAAGATATCACTTAGGTATTTATAACTGACCTTTAAAAATAACTGTCACAGGGGCTGGGAAGGTGGCTCAATGGTAGAGCGCTTGCCTTGCATGCCTGAGGCCCTGGGTTCGATTCCTCAGCATCACATAAGCAAAAAGAAAAAAGCCGGAAGTGGCGCTGTGGCTCAAGTGGTAGAGCGCCAGCCTTGAGCTGAAGAGCTGAGGAACAGCACCCAGGCCTAGAGTTCAGGCCTCACAACTGGACCCAAAAAAAAAAAAAAATAACTGTCACAAAACTGTTATTCTCTTTGTACTCTAGTCATGCTTCATTAATCTAAGTATTATTTTTGTATTTTTTTAATTTCTCAAAGCACTTTAATGGAATTACTACTTAATCATCACAGAAACCCCACCAGCAAAAAGTGAACCCCATCTTGTATTACTGGGTTATATTTCTCAAGTACTTGTTTTGTAAGGAAGGGAACTGAGTCCTCCTCTAGAGGGTCGTAGAGAACCACTACACAAAAAGGACAAGACAGAAGTCTGCACTGGCCGGCAAGGCAGGATACACAGACAAGATGGTAGAAGTTAGTGGAACTACTAGGAAACAGCTCTGGTTGGTGCTGACTACAAACTAATGAAGCAGCAAGGAGCCATTTCTGGCAGGTCTTCTTACCCACCCTCCCCCACACCTAAACACAGGCCCTAGTTTGCACCTGCTGCGACCTGATTCACCCATTTTCCCTCCATCTGTGCTGCTAAATGCTGTCACTGACAGACAAGTGACTTTTAGCCTTCCAATTTCCGCTTGGAAATGTGTCTACCAAACCACACCCATCTTTTGTTTGGGAGACAAGGTCTGGAAGTTTGTATTTTATACAGCTGAATGACAATCTGTGAATACAACAAAACATAAATACAATCTTTAGTACTCACTCCACTCAAGAAAACTGCATCTAGCCATCCCTCCACTGCTCCTGAATATACCCTGACTTAAAATTCCACCTCAAATCTACAACAGGAAGGAGATTAGATACTATCCTTACCAGTGAAACTACACAATTGCTTAAGTAAGCAAAAGTCCAAACTATCTTCTCTGTATACTCTGAAGACACTGGTGTGCATATATCTTAAATAGAACAAAAAATAAATTGAAACATCTTTTAAGATGAATCCTGGGGCTGGGAAGGTGGCTCAGTGGTAGAGTGCTTGCCTTGCATGCATGAGGCCCTGGGTTTGATTCCTCAGTACCACATAAGAAAAAAGCCGCAAGTGGCGCTGTGGCTCAAGTGGTAGAGCGCTAGCCTTGAGCTGAAGAGCTGAGGGACAGCGTCCAAGCTCAGAGTTCAGGCCCCACGACCGGACCCAAAAAAAAAAAAAAAAAAAGATGAATCCTGAGGGCTGAGGATATATAGCGTAGTGGTAGAGAGCTAGTCTACTGCCAGGAAAGCCCTGGGATTCATCCTCAGTATTGCTTCTAATCATCAATAGTTACTAATCATCTGTGATTCAGAAAAAGGATACAGAAATGGGCTCTGAGTGTGGCTCAGGGTAAGCAAACTAAACCCAGGACCAAAGAATAAAAGGCTATAGAAAGTTACCTCATCACTTTATTTTTAACACTTTTAGAACAAGGAAGTGGGTAGCAGAAAGGCTGAGCCATAATCTTATCAAAAAGAGGAGCTTAAAAATACTTTTGCTTCAGAGTATTTGCAATAATTGGGGAGGGGAGATTTTCACAAGAGAAATGGTAAGCATGTAAACTCACAGAACGAGTGCTAACTCTTTGACACAAACCTGCTTGATACTCAGGAGAGATGGCTCTCCAGCAGGTCTCTGTTCCAACCGCAGCTTCAGACACTCGTGGATAACGTTCAGCAGGACTCGGCAGAGCACGAGGAAGGCGGGTTCAAAAGAGGGCAAGTCCATGGCCCTCAGCTCCTCCCAGGACACCGCGCTGCACCTCTGCTCTGCGGAAGGGGGCGTCCTTGACAGCTGCACATAGTCCGCGCCCCACATGGGGTCTGGGAATTCAGAGAACTGCAGCGAAAATTCACAGGAGGTTAGAGGGCTCTGGGACCAGGTGTGGTTGCAAGCTACTATTCTCTACCATCGGCTGAGAAAATGACAAAGTTCTAATTTTGAAGGAAAGGAAATCTTTACTCATTCAATGCTTTCAACACAGATAGAGTTTTGCAAAAATTTTGCAAGTATTAGTAAACCATAAGCACTAAAACCAGGTTTTAATATTTTCCTCAACATGGTAAAACAATGTTTTTTTTTGTAAGTAATATTTTGGCATCTCCCTTAAAAGCTCACAGTACTTCATTTCTAAAATTACAGACAGTACTGTCATCAGATTAAGAAACCAAAGAGATCACTAAAATTTGAGAAAAAGACTACAAAATTTGGAAACTGCTTGCCCCAAGAATCCATTTACGTCAACACAGAAACCAGTGACTTGGACCAATTCTGTTCATTGTGCCAAGTTAACTAACGACACCCAGGGTTTAAAAGACACTCCTGAGGTCACCCAGATTTGCACCACTTAGTCACAGTGTGGCTTGCCCTCCTTTTGAGACATCCCCTCCAGTCCTTGCACCGGTCGGTCCCCATTCTTCTGGCAACACCATCTCGACCAATCATATCCAGAAGTCTCGCATTCTTTAATTGAAACAGCGAGGTCATCAAAATTTGAAACCTCAATGTTTCTTTAACATCACCTCCTTCCTCCTTACACCCACGCTGACTCCGTGGATGTGACCGGTAGCTGGCCTTCCTGTCACTTTGTGAGCTCTTAACCACTCTCCCCTGTCCACACAGGAGCCACAGACAGCCTCAAACCCTAGCCCTCAGAACATGCACCTGAACGCCATCTGGTCACAGCACTGGCACTCAGCACTCACATGTCGTCAATCAGTGTTTGACTGTCAAGGTACCTCCTGCCCATCCCCCAACTAATGCCCAGTAGAATAAGGGCCAATACTCTGGGCCCTCCGTGTTACAGCACTCGTGTTTCTGGGTCCTTCTACATAGGACCTCTGGGAGCACGACCCTGCCCTGATGTTGTCCCGGCTGCCAGCTCACCTGGGAATGCCCCCTTCACTTCCCTTCTCCTTAAAGAAGAGAAAGAAACCACCATCTGGACTACTGCAATATAACAAAACTGCACGTCCTCAAAAAGCTTTTGCGTAAAATTAGGAGATAAAACAATGTTACAAGACTAATTACATCTATCAGAGAAACAACATTTTATAATATATTTTTCATATTTTAAAACCCAACAATTTTATATAATTTTTATAAAAGCTAAATTTAAAAAACAATACCGAAACATATTTTTTTTCTTGTGTTGAGAATCAAACTCAGGGCATTTTACATGCTAGCTAAGTGCTCTACCCCTGAGCCACATCTATACTTGAAACCAAAATTTTAAAAATTATGTGCATAGGCTAGGCACATGACTCAAGTGGTAGAACACTTGACTAGCAAGCACAAGGCCGCGGCTTCAATCTCCAGTACAGGAAAAATGAAATAAATAGGTATTAAAATACTGTACATTTAAATAGGGATACAAGTGGACCCATT